GTCCACATTGATACGTTCACATCTGCTATGCGTTATACATTTGTTGAACTAAAACTAATTTCAGATTACGAGACGAACTGGAAGTAAGAGTGATACGGTTATGCCATGCTGTTTAGTTTCTCTGAAAGACAGTCAACGTTTTTCCACGCATTCGGCTACGAAGCTCAAACATTTTTGTTGTCGGGTCCTTTACCTATTAATTATGGTACTGGTTGCCACATCAGAATGATAGGTTTGCTCCTGTGAGTCTGAAATCTGACAGATTTGGTGTTTCAATCGTTTTACGTTTACCGAAAGAAATATTGGGCACTGCAGTGTCTGTTCATCCTACTGCCACCTGTTTCACAGGTTCTACCGACGGCCGATTGATCGCCGAAGGCACGACTGCTGGTATTCGTTTTCGTCGTNACCCTAGTGAATGGACCGGTGACGATTTTCCTGCATTAACTGCCGCTTCACAGTCCCAAAGTGAACGCCCCGACGATGCTCCCGGAACTGCAGCAAGAGATGCTCAAGGCTCTGGCGCTCAGGCTGTGAGAGGAGATAGCTCCACGGCTCGGCAAGCTGGCAGTACTCGCGGTCCAGGTCGAAGTGTTCAGCCGGGATCGACTTTGGCGGCACTTACCGGAGGTGGACGCAGCTCTCGTTTGACAGCAGATGACTTTCCTTCATTATCTGGATCAGCTGGTGTAAATCCCGGTAAGTGACAAAAGAAATTTGTTGGAAAAATCACGATATAATATTTTGTTCCCCATCTTTTAGGTTATTTAATTACACAAGGTGATTTACAGCAGGAGGAGTATACTCCATAATCAAAGACACTGTAAAGGGGAAAGTACGTGGGGGAATATTCATTTGTTGATTCTGATTTTGGAAATAGAACGTTCATATACAGTTGGAAATACGGAAATGAGAAGCGTGTTTCATAGTTTCGCAGTTCTGTTAGGTAAAAAGATTATTTTTTTTTTTTACCTAAAACGGACTATTTTCGAGTATCTTCAATTAGGAGCATCTCTAATCAATACCAATCTCGCGGAGATTAATCAATGATATTGCGTCATACGGAAAACATTCACTCCGTCCGTCTGATCCGTGACCTATGTCCGATTAAACTTTGCTAACTGTGTACTTGATTGGCACAATCTTTTTCTTGCATTAATCGATACTATTTTGGGTCACATATAAGCATCAGAGTAAAACTTGTTAATTGACTTGCTTCCTGTGTGTCAAGTATACGTTCGTTGTGCACTAATTGTGTTCTTGCTTACGTAGCTGGGAGAAGGCTACTAGTGCTCGTGGCGTCCAAACTGTGCTGTGATCTTACTCGTGGGGCCAGACGATTAGTGTGGCCGTTGAAGTACGTGTGTTCCTTGTGTGTCATCGTGTGATATCTTGTTGTGTATACATTGTAATCAAACGAGATCCGGACACAACAAGTTCCGGATAAAAAAAGATAGAAGCCTGACATCTGTGGACAGAAACCTGGTAACGGTAACTACTTGCTTGAGTACGAGATAGGAACAAGAGGAGGGTAACTGCTGAAGTGAGTTCAGAACAGCAGAAGCTAAAATAAGAACGGTAGAAAAGATGAAATTAAGCAGTTGCTCGTTGATGGGAAAGCGACTGCGGATTTGAAATTATAGACGGTTCGTTGGTCATCTGGGTGGCTTTACGTTGAACATGGTTGAGAAGAAAATGAGCGTAATACGAACCTTTACCACATACAAGACTGTAGTATTCGAACATTTGGCGGATTTGAGATTTGTATAAAAGGAGAAAGTGCGTGTGCAAAGAAGCGCTTGACGCGGAATAAGACACCGACTACGCGCAGCGTGAGAGGCGAGTGCAAGTCCGAGATCGTACGCAGGAGAAACGCTAATGACGTTACGGTTGTGATGGAAGTTGGTAGTGGCCTGGCGGAGAGTGACATCATCCACAAAGTGGTCAATGGGATTAGAGGCTTTAGACAAAAGATCGTTGACAAATAGAAGAAAGAGTTTGGGCGCAAGTATGGAACCTTGAGGAACACCGGTATTTTAAGATGGTGGCCGAGATAAGATCCCATCAACTCGGAAGGAGATATTTCAGTTGCGGAAGAAACGATGCAACCACAATGATAGAACCCGTTGGAATCCGAGTGTGGTTTACTTCGATAGTTGGCATTCGTATCAAACTCGGTCGAAATCCTTCGAAACGTCGAGCAAGACTAAATGAGTTTCTCCGTGATCATCGAGTGCACTTGAACAGAAATCCGATGTAAGAGACAGTAGATTATCCGTAGATCGTCGAGGGCGAAATAAATATTGACAGTCAGTTAGCAAGAGATATTGGTTTCAAAAACTTTCGAGATTACAGAAGTGAGTGTGATGGGACCATAGTTGCTGTGATCGGACGAGACAACACACTTTGGTGTCGGGGAAGCAATGGCATTTTTCCATAGATTATGGAAATATTTGAAATCAAGAGAAGAATAGAAAAGGGTGGAAAGCCATCCGGACCAGGTATTTTCCAGCATCCAAACCGTGACGAGTTTGGCGGATTTTTCTGGTTGTTATGAGAGGTAGAAAGGAGTGGCTGGATGTATGGAAGGAAAGTTAGAAGTAGTGTCAGTTGATAAGGTGTATTTTGAGATTGACCGGGAAACGAATACCGCCGCTTTTTGTGGGGGTCACAAACAAACGGTAGGAGTTACAAAGAAAAGTGGAAGGGCAAAATATAGGTGAGACTGCTCCAGCGAGGGACCAGAATGTTCAATTATCAGTTGTGGATGAAGCCAAGCACTTTGT